AAGCTTGGAGGAAGACGTGGTTGGCTTGCAAAACCAAGCCCGAGGGAAATTGGCGCGAAAGCTGCGGCGGGTCTTGGAGGAACCCTTGATGGACGTGTGCAAGCGTATTGTAGAAGCCCGGTGCGCGGGCTCGGCCTATGCGTCCGTGCGAGGGTTTCGACGGGATGTGCACCGGGAATGCGGCCATTTCGTGCGGAAGCACGAGGTAGGGGGAAAGCTGTCCGCTCGAATGGTGCAGCAGGTGATCGACCAGTTCATTGACATGGAACTAGGGGCCTGTTTGGAGACGGTGGGGAAAGAGGAACGCCGGTTGCGGTTTTGGCGGAAAGTCACATGGGGAGTGGGGGGGGCCTTGGCCCTCCTTGCCTACATGAAATATCAGACAGGGACTGTGCAGGGCGGTGGCTTCCTGCCCCGTCCTCAAGAGCGTGAGCGCCCTCGTCCCCCCTCACCGCTACCGGCGGGCGGGAAGGGGGCGTGGAGAGGGAGATGACGAGGGAGATAGATGGAGGGGTGAGGAAGGGGAGAGGTTCGGGTACATTAGAAAAGATACGATATCGGCACAAAGCAATGCTGCGGAGGCAGATCGATCATGGGGGCGCGAAGCAAACACGTCCTGCCGACATGTTTATGTGAAGCATTCAAGCGAGTCAAATTGAGAGATTTTATTTTGATTTCTTCCGTTGTACGATGCCCAAGCGGAGGGTGACTAGTTTGCTTCTTGTCGTCCCTTTGGCTTCTTGTCGTCCCGCCCAGATTTTCTGCTCGCGTTTTTCCATCACCTGCCCCCTCCCTGATCAAATCTCTGGCTATACAAGTCTTATCTTTCAAATTTGGCTCCCAGGACCCCATAGCTGCACCCGTGCACGTTCACCACGCATCCAATTTCCAATGCTCCTGCCCCTAAAACGTGGGCTGGATCTTATCCACATATTTACAATTTCTCAACATTGGCCCATGCCTGCCGCCAGATCCTCCCCCACAAAAGACCTGAGCTCACACACATCCCACACACGCCTTTTGCTTCGACATCATCGTGCTTCCCGTGCCCGCCGCAACGCGTCTGACCCGGCATACCCCTCACAAGGACCCTGCTTTGGCCACTTTCCTCCTCTTCCCTTAATAGCCTTCCCCTCCGTCCTTATCGCCCTCCTTTCAGCATGCCCCACACCCCCCCCAACCCCCCCCTACGCATCTCCCGTACCAGTGTCTGGGCCTCCCCCAATGCTTCTATCGCCACCCCCTTGGCCTGAGAGGCCATGCCGCGGGCCCGTCCGATCGTGGTGGCCGCCATGTTCACGGCGCCTTGAGCCATTTTCAAAGGGAAGGATTGGAGCAGGGCTTGAGTAAAGCTGTTGCTCCCCTCCAAGTCTTTGAGGAAATGGATCAGGGGCAGGCCCGCCACCACCAGGGTGCCGTCGGTGGTGCCACAGGCGAGGAGCACGGGGGTGGTGGGGGAGGGTCCGGCGTCGACGCAGGCCAGGTGGGGAGTCAAGGAGGGCGGGAGGGAGG